GAATGATTTCTTAAGGATCATGTGACACTGAAGACTGGAGTAATGGCTGATGGAAATTCAGCTTTGATCACAGAAATAAATTATATTTTAAAGTATATTAAAATAGAAACCATTATTTTATATTGTAATAACATTTAGCAAGATTACTGTTTTGTTTCTGTATTTTTGATCAAATAAATGCAGTCTTGATGAGCAGAAGAGACTTCTTTAAAAAACATTACAAGTCTTACTGATCCCAAACTTTTGAACGGCAGTGTATATACACACACTACTGTGCAAAAGTCTTTGGCCACTAGTATTTTCACCAAGAAAAAATGGTTTTAAGCCAGTTATTTCTATCTTTTGCTGTAGTGTGTCAGTAGGAAATATCAGTTCACATTTCCAAACATTCATTTAGCCATTAATTGTAATAATCCAAAGAGATTTTTATCCCTGTGATGGATTGGCCATCTGTAGGCTCCAGTATTCGTACAGCCCTAGGTCAGGAGTGAGTTGGAGAGTGGCAGTGACAAAACCAAATAAGGGACAACGTGTGCTTTATAAGGTAATGTCAAATCATTTAATTAATCTTTACACTATATGTAAGTGTAAGACAATTAGTTACACTGAAAATGCCATTACAGTAAATGTTGTTAATATACAGAATTGTACTGTGCAAAAGGCACATTAGATTCTTCACCCAAATTTCAAGACCATTATTTATATATGTATTATTTATATTTATATTTCGCTTTATTGTGCCAGTAAGAAATATCAGTTAACATTGACTTTTACCATTAATTGTAATAGTCCAGAGAGATTATCCCTGTGATGGACTGGCCATCTGTAGGCTCCAGTATTCGTACAGCCCTAGGACAAGTGAGATGGATGGATGGATTTTTGTATGCACAGGGAGTCCAAAATCATATGGTTCACACGCAGATCTAATCTCACCATCATCTAGTCCATCTGGGATTGCATAAAGAGAAAAAAATGGAGAGAGACTAAATCCTGTGGCAACATCTCCAATACACTTGGAGAAATCTACCTGAAAATCTAAATAATAAAATCTAAAATAATAATAAAAAA